GGAAGAGAGAAAGAAAAGGGGAAGACCTCAGACTGTGGTCCAAGATTATCGGGTTATGCTTTCTTCCCACCTTGGAATTCTGCTTAGTGATGGAAAAGGGCCACTACTTAGTCACCTGACTTAGAGACCCATCCAGACAAAACATGACTATCCATCAATATGACGGATGAAAGAGAGATGTCCTATGTGAATCCAATTTCTAATCTTCAGATATTTTAGCAAACGCCTTCCCTTTGACCACGTTTCGGTCTTGGACTACTAAAAGTTAACCTCGTCCTCTGGAGTGGGACTCACACTTTAAGGTTGATCTTACCAGAGGCTTGCATCAAAAACGCCTCAACAGAAACAGGAATGGAACATGAATTCAAAGCCTTAGGCTGAACAGCTCTTGCAGCAATTCTTGCCCATGATGCCAACATGGCTCCTGGTGCTGAAGTTATCACTTCAACTGTATTAGTCTCTTCCGCTCTCTCATTCACCTCATAACACTTCTGAAGCCTTGCTCTCTTGGTCACTGCCTTGCGTTTCCTCGAACATCGCTGTAATCTGGTCTCTTGTGACATTTCAGGCATATCCTGCAAATGAAATTCATGATGAGTATTCAGTAAACCACTAGGGCTGTAAGGACTTTTGGGTCAATTTTATTATTCTTTTTTTTATTTTTATTTTTGAGACGGAGCTTCGCTCTTGTGGCCCAGGCTGGAGTACAATGGCACGATCTTGGCTCACCGCAACCTCTGCCTTCCAGGTTCAAGCGATTCTCCTGCCTCAGCCTCCCTAGTAGCTGGGATTATAGGCATATGCCACCACGTCTGGCTAATTTTGTATTTTTAGTAGAGATAGGGTTTCCCCATGTTGGTCAGGCTGGTCTCAAACTCCCGACCTCAGGTAATCCACCCACCTCGGCCTCCCAAAGTGCTGGGATTACAGGCGTGACCGGCCAATTTTATTATTCTTTGTACTGACCTGAACAAGTATGTCATTATGGAAAGGGTTTAGGAATATTAGTTCCCATAAACCGCAAATTCTCCATTGGGAGAAATTTTTGGTTATTGAACCTGTGCAGGGGGAGGAAAGGTTGCTACTGACATCCAGTTGGTAGAGGCTGGGGATGCTACAAAACATCCAACAAGGTACAGAGCAGGCCCCAAAACAAACAAAAACTTATTTGTTCCGAAATGTCAATAATGCCACAAGTAAGAAACCCTGCCTTAGAGGTACAACATATAGAAATGGTGCCTGGGTAGGGACCGGAAAAATCATGATCAGAACCCACCTTCACACCATCAACACACTCATTACTCACTTGCTGTTGTCCAGGGTAAGCATGCCTATGGAGCCTCAGATAAACTTCGATTTTCTTAGGAAATGAAGAGAGAAATAAAGTTAAAAGTTAACAAAGATTCCCACAGTTATTCCCAGCAGCAGACATTCACCCAAGTGTACTAACCTTGCCATTAGTACTCAAACCGAGTTGTTGACACCAGTCCCGCAAGGTGTCCCGACACACCTTATTAATGGGAGGCAAAATGGTTGGCAAGGGAGGGGCTGGTGTTTTGCATCTAGCTTTTTTCGGAGCTGTAAATTGTTCATTTGTTTGAAGTAGATGACCTAAGAAAAGAATGGAACCAAAGTAGTAATAATTTAAAGTTGGCAAGATTCTTTTAAAATTTTACAAATATCTTTTCACATTTTTCACAATGCAATTTGCATATATACATATCAAATTTTATTTCTCACATTAAAAATGAGCTAACAAGGCCGAGTAACAGGCTCACACCTATAATCCCAGAACTTTGGGAGGCTGATGTGAATCACAAGTGATTCGCCCAAATCACTTGAGGTCAGGAGATAGAGACCAGCCTGGCCAACATGGTAAAACCCCATCTCTACAAAAAACAGAAAAATTAGCTGGGCATGGTGGTGCACACCTGCAATCCCAGCTACTCAGGAGGCTGAGGCAGGAGAATTGCTTGAACCCAGGAGGCGGAGG